TCTCTTGTAATAGCTAATTCTCTAACTACCCATGTTAGCTCATTATAGCTTTTGAAATTATCCAGATTATGCAAGAGCTATCAACACACAGTTAGTGCTATATCTGCAGAGTCAACAAATAGTTCTATTAAGTGATATCCCAAGCTTTTAGGTTCTTTAGGAGAAGAAGGCTTAAGTGAAGGAGGTTCTCTCCAACCTGGACTCACCTGTGGCGCTTTGGGAATATAATCTAATCTCTACCCAGGGCCAAAGTCTGCACTCTCAACTTGAAGTCTACAAGGAGTATAAGGGTTTGACAGTGGTGCTTGTGGATGTTTCCTAAGAAATAACAAAAGTTCATTTAATTTGGTTATCTTGCTTTACAAATTATGCATCTAAACAACCAATATATTTTCAAATAGAATGATGTCAAGACACATGCTTACTGCTGCCAGAATGTGGTGACCTAGAGATTTGTCCATCAGCTGAAGGAATAAAGAATGAACTTTAGCCTTCTTTGTCAAGTCAGTCCATGCTACATTTTTATGGTCCCTCTTTAGGAGCCATATTAAGGCTTGACATTTATATGTAAAATGAGCTACCAAGCTGGTTACAGCCTTGCAGAGGGATCTGGTTGCCTGATGCTGCCAAGGTAGCCTAACATCAATTTATCTGAGAAGGATAAATTCCAAGCAGCTTCTGAATCTATTAAATATGACAGTGACTCATCTATGCAAAGTTAGACATGCCCAGTGGGTCAGGGCATATATTGGGTTAGAGCAAAGAGGTATCTAGGGGTCTACTAGTTGCATAGCAATAGTCTCAGGATGGGTGCACCTCCAGGCTGGGGAAACCAGTCCTGAGTTGATTGGTCAGCTGCAGCTGCAGAAAGATTGCTGTACCCAGAGGTCCTCCCAGAACAGTTTTTCTATGCACTGCATTCCACAGTTATCAGAAAAAGCACATCCAGAGCCCACTAGCTAACTTCTGGTTGGTTCCTTACCACATGGAGTGTATCTGGAGGTTGCATGCTAGTGATTAGGGCAAGGTCAGGATCAGCACATGTTGCTGAGTTAGGGGTCTATGTCTTGCTGGGTCTTTCCTGCAGCCTGTCATGGCTGCCAAAGCATGGATGAGGGTCTGGGCCTTCAAAGCCACAGAGGGAACAGCTTTACTTTCAAATCCTGACTCCAGCAGCCCCAGCAGCGGCTCCCTCCAGATATGGATCTGGTTCATAGGCTTTACAGACACCTTTTGAGCCCACTTTTGAAACATCTTGAATTTGCTTCAGCCTCTTTAACTCATATCTATTCTGTACTCTTATGCATGAAAAAGAACATATATATAATGTATATATATAGTGCTGTGAGATGTGTTAATATTGGTGATTAAGACTGGAATAATGAACCTGCATTTGCCTCACCTCAGCCTAGCTACCAGGGTAGGAGGATTATGTGACAAATTGTCATTGAAATTTAACCTTAGTGAATTTCATCTCATTCAATAAATTCTGACAGTATAGAAAGACACAAACATGTTTACATATGGATCAGGTATTGCAGGCTCACAGAATTCAACTATGGTTCTCTCTCTGTCTGTCTGTCTCTGTCTGTCTCTCTCTCTGTCTCTGTCTCTCTCTCTGTCTGTCTCTCTTTCACACACACACATACACACGATTTCTCCTCCCCTCCCCATCATTCCCCTTTTCATCTTTCCATCTTCTCCTCCTCCTCCTACTTCCTTCCCCTCCCCTCTCCTCCTTCACCTCCTTGTCCCAACCCACAGGACATTCAATGTGGGTCAGGTAGACACCTAGGAGAAAGATGGAGGACAGGGGATACAGGAATGGACGCCAAGAAAGGATTCTGATCAAGGCGACAATTTTATTTCATCCCAAAGCGATTTATATAGGAGAACTGAGGAGGGAAGGGGGGAAGGTGTACTTGCAGATGTAGGGGCAAGAGGTCAGTAGGAGAGGTGGTCTGCTGAGTTGCCTGGCTACCTTATCTACAGGGCAAGAGATCAGGGGTAGGAACTCCTATGTTGCTTGGTAACCTGACAGCAGGGTCCGATCCTATCTATTACAATTTACTACTGCTCAGGCCTATCTCCTGAGGACCTTGTAGTTTTCCAATTAAGCTAATCTTTAACTGACAGGTAAACCACAGTCTTGTTTCTTGGAATTTGCTTTATGTCAGAAGGGGTGGCAGGGCAGTCTTAGTGTCACGCCTTCTCTATGATGATGTGATACAAGTTGACTGTTGGCTGGAGGTCCCTGACACCTCTGCTTTCCTTCCCCCTCCTTTTCCTTCCCCTCTTCCTCTTCTCTTCCCCATCCTCCTTCTTTCCCTCCTCTTCCTCTTCCCTCCTCCCACTCCTCTCCTGTCTTCCTCCTCTCCCTGATCATTTCTTTCTTTCTCCTTCATTCCCTTTTCCTCATCCTCTCCTTTCCCTTCTCTTCTCTTTCCTTCTCCCTTGCCTTCTTGTCCTTTCTTCCTCCTCACCCTCCCTCCTTCATCTTCCCCTTCTTTTACCATCCTCTCCATCAGAGCTAGCCTGAAGCTAAGAGGTCGAAGCATGCCTCAAACCCTGGATTTTCTCATCCTTAGAGCAGCAGGAGTTTGTTTGCCCCACCCTCTTGTCCATATGCCAGCAGACTCCAAGCAGTTAGGCTTCCTGTGATGTGCCCCAATGCACATGGCAGCTGATAAGCTCATGGTCTCCAAGGTCACAGGGACTGGTTGCTGCTTATCTGAACTCTGAAACAGTCTAAGATGGACTTCCTGTGACTATAACTTATCTTCCTCTGGCCCCTGTTGCCTCTGAGTGTACAAGTGAAGTACCCTTGATGTTCTTACCCCAAACAACAGCATACCACCACATGGACCCAAGAGGCCATTCTTCCTAGGATACAAATGTCCCTTGGCCCCCTCCTAATAAATGGGGTGTCCACTGACACAGCCTCCAGAGTGTCCTTTTCCCTGTTGTACTCATGTCCACTTAGGATCCACCTTTGGCTCCGCCCATGCTCAGCCTATTTCCCTCCTAACCATGCCTGGACAAAGTCAGGGCTGGAACCCAGCACTCTCCCTCCTCCCTGTCCTCCTCTTCCTCTCCGCTCTCCTCCCTCTCTCCCCTTCTCCTTCTCCCACGCCTTCTCCCAACCCTTCTCCTCCTCTTCTTCTTCTGTGTCTTCCTTCCCCTGCCTCCCTTTGCTCTGCCCTGCCCCCTTCTCCTCATCCTCTTCCTCCTATTGTTTCTTCTCCTCCCTCTCCCCCTATTCCTCCCCACTTCTTGTTCTCCTTTTACCCTTCTCCCCTTTCCTTCTCCCCCTTCCTTTCTCTATTCACCTCTTTTCCCTCCTCCTTCCCCTCCTTTTGTTCCTTATCCTTTCCTCTTCCTCCTCCTATCCTCTCCCCCCCTTCTTGTTCTCCCCATATCTTCCTCTACCCCCTCTTCTCCTCCACCTTCTCCTCCCCTTTCTGCTTCCAGTCTTTCTGCTCCTCCTCCTTTCCGTCTCCTCTTGCCTGTGCCTTATCATCCTCCACCTTCTAGTCTTTTACTCTTCTATCACTGTGGTGCCTGCGCCATGAGCATGTACAACATATCGGGAGAAAGCCTGGAGATTTAAATGAAAGACAATATATCTAGCCATTTGTGCTAAGAGAGTGTCTGTGTGAGTGTGCGTGCGTACGGGCGTGCATGCGTGCGGGCGTGTGTGTGTGTGTGTGTGTGTGTGTGTGTGTCACAAGGAGGGAGCAGCCTTATATACAGACTTACAGCACAGTGAAGAAACTCCAGGTGTAAGGGTTTATGTTTTTATAATTAGAGGTTGATGTCAGTGGGACAAGTGTGGGGCTGTAAGCCAGGACTAGAGAACAGGATGCACCTGTGGTTGTTGGCTGACAATCAACTCACAGAGACCCCATGGAGGCTGACACCCAACATATCACTCCTTTTTCTTTCCATTATCCTCCTTCCCCTATTTTTATTCCTCCCCCTTCCTTCTCCCCCTTTCTCTATCCCTCTCTCTCCTTTTCCTTCTCCTCTCCTCTCCTTCATCTTCAGTTCCTCCTCCTTTTATTCTCCCCTCCCCTCCTCTCCTCTCCTCTCCTTATCCCTTGCCTTCTTATCTTCCTCCCCCCCTTCTCCTCCCTCAACTCTTCCTCCTCTTCCTTCTCCATCCTTCTCTTCCCTCATTTCTTATTCCTCTCCCTTTCTCCTCCCTCTTCTCCTCCCTTACCTTCGCTTCTTCCTCTCCTCTCTCTACTCTTCCTCCCCTTCCCTCTTGCCTTTTCCACCCCACCTTTCTCTCTATTTCTTCCTTCTCTCTCTTCCTATTCTTCTCTTCCTAACTCATCCTCTCCTGTTCTTCCTCCTCCCTTTTCTCCTCCTCCAACTCCTCTTGCCCCTCTTCCTCCTTTCTCTTCATTCCCTCCTTCCTTCTCCCCTCCTCTGCCTTTTCTTCTTTTTCCCTTTCTTCTTCCCCTCCTCAACTACTCCTCCTCCTTCTCCCTGCTCCTTCCCCATCTAGTCTTCCTCCTCCCCTCCTTTCCCCTTCCTCCTCCTCCATCTCCTCTCCTCTTTCTTTCTCCCCTCCTCTTCTTCCACACCCATTCCTCTCCTCCCCCTCTCTAACTCTCCCTCCTCCTTCTTCTCCTCCCCTCTCCAGCTCCCTCTCTTCCCTTTCCCTTTGCACACTTCCTTCCTTTCCTTCTCCTCAATCCCTCCTCCTTTCATGGTTGAAACTAAGGAGTGAACCAGTGCCTGCTTAGCAATCATCTTCAATCATTTTTACATGTCAAAAGAATTTTACATTTTTAACTATATGCATGCATGTGTTTGGGGTATATCCATTATGTTGCTCCTTTGGCACTAGTAATGAGGGCGTTATATCATGTATATGAACAGCTAGTAGACACTCATGATGTGGAGGGGATAGAAGCACCAACATTCAAGCAATCTTGTCAGATAAGCAACACACAATCTTTAGTGAACATTATTTTATTGAAATACTGGTTAAAAGTCATTAAATATCTATATTTCTATTCACAACAATACTACGCTGAAATACTAAGCCATGTTGTACCCTGATACTTTTCAAGAACATCAAATACAAAATGAAAACAGCAAACACAGAAATGTTTACTTGTCTAGGTCATAATAGAGTGGTCAACAGATCCTCAAAGGGCTTGAAAACAATATGCGACAGAAGCCATTTTGTAATTGCTGGCTGTAAACAGAGAAGAGGAATTCTCTGATAGGTAATTAAAGAAATCTTGCATATAACTGGACACTAACATTAGACTGCACCTATTAAGGGAAAAATTGGTCAATGCACTGCCAATATTCACAAATAATCGCAGGAGGTGTGACGCCCCATAAATCTGAGACATTGGAAGATCTGGGTAAGCCAGGAGGATTTCAGCATACTGGGGTTTTTCAAACTGGCAGAGGAGCTTGGTGCCCAGCATCCTGTTGAAATACTCTCTTATTCCATACACAAGTTCATCAACAGAATATTCCCCATTATCAGACTTTCCCTGTGATTTCACGAAGTTGACATAGTTTTCGAGAATGTGATCTACATTCTTTTCAGCAGGGAGTTGGAATAACTGCTTGTGCGTGTTTACCAAGTCCAAGTCCTCAACAATGCATGCTTTTAGTTCTCGAGGCAACTCCAATTCAACTCCCATTCTCATATTCACTGCCTGGATATGCTGTCCAGTGGTGACAGCCCCAGCCACATTCTGGTGAGTGGCCTGGGGTACTTGGCTGGTAGCACTGCCAATGCTGCTTTCTGGAGCATCCTGTGTGCTCTTGGGCACTGGCAACGCAGGCATAGATCCTGAAGAGGGTGTCCCTACAGGAAAGTCTTTCTCCATGAAGTGATGACCTTCCTCCACTGAGCACCCATTCTTGCCTGTGTTACTTTCCTCATGAGTGTAGCTGTCATGAATCTCAACACTCTCACGAGAACCAAATTTCTTTTCCACTCTCCCTTTCTTGACAGAGAGCTGTCTCTTTTTCTTAGTAAGGTGGCCTCTCTCCCCATAGTGAGCTTTCTCTGCAGAATGGATACTCTTGGAAGACGGGTTTTTCTCTGCAGGCCGACTCTTTTTAGGAGGGCAACTGCTCTCAGCAGATAGACGTTTCTCTGCACAGAGGCTTTTCTTTGAAAGCCTACCTCTCTCTGTGGGGAGATTTTGCCTTGCAGTGTGTCCCCTATCTGCTGACTGACCCTCCTCTGCAGGGCTGTGTTTCCTCAGAGGGTGACTTCTCCCCGTGGGGTGATCTTTCCCTGTGGAAGGTCTTTTCTCCACAGCGTCACCTCTTTCCACTGAGCGACCCTCCATTGCAGGGCAACTTTGCATGCAGTGACCTCTCCCTGTCGGGGTATCTTCACCTGCAAAGAGTCTGCTCCGTGCCAAGTAAACCCATTCGATTGAGCAACGCTCCTGTGCAGGGTGGCTTTTGATTTGGTGGCCTCTCCCTGGAGATCCACTCTTGTTTGCTGACCAACCCTTCTCTGCCAGGTGACTTTTGTTGTCAGGCCAACCTCGCCCTACAGGGTGATCTTCCTCAGTGGAGAGTTCTCTCTTCACAGAACGCTCTCCATCTATCCAGCGATCTCTCTGAGTACAGCTAAGTTTCTTCGCTGAGCGGTCTTTCTCTTCGGGGTGATGGTTTTCCACAGAGGGTCCTCTCCCGTCCAAGTAACCTTTCTTAGGAGATGGACTCTTCTTAGTAGAAAAACCTTTCTTTGCAGGTTGATCTCTCTCAGGAGTGTGGCCTCTCTCTTCATAGGGACCTCTCTCACCCAAACCACCTTCCTCTGTAGAACAATATTTGTCTGTAAGACGTCTTTTCTTGTTCAGGCAACCTCTCTGTGTAGGGAGATCTTTCTCAGCCGAGAGATGCTTCTCAAAACAGCAACTTTTCTCAAAATGGCGACGCCTCTTCCCAGAGAATTGCTTCTTGAACTGGTGTCTCCTGTCACAGGGTCCTTTTTTAGTAGCAGGACATTTTTCATCATCGCAAGGTCCTTTTTTAGTAGCAGGACATTTTTCATCATCGCAAGAGTCATTGTCAAACAGAAGCATCTTAGGCAAGGGGGTGTACCGCATAACGTAGTACATCCTAGCAATGCATCTTTTTTCTGCAATGTGATGCTTCTCGGTGGACGGCTTTTTCTCTGCTGAGCAGGTTTTCTCACCTGAGCAACCTCTCTCCACCGCGCCATGTTTTGTGGCTGGACGGCCCCGTGGTCTTCTTGGAATTCCCGACTGAAGTGTTGTCGGCTCGGCTGACTTCTCTCCTGAGGAGCCATTTGTCACCTTTGTGACCTGCCTGTGGCTTGGTGTCAGACTCAGGAAGTCATCACCTTCAGCAAAATGCTGGTCACGAACATGAGGCCCTTTCTCTCTGGTACTCATTTAAGTGATCTTCTGACTTTATCTTGAAAGAACAAACGAATTCCCAGATTTCCTGCGATTTTCTGGAAAAACAGACTAGACACACAGCCCAGAAGGCTGCAGTCTGAATTAGTTCTACAACCAGGATCCAATGTCCTGATTGTCTATCAAATTTAGCCCTTTTTAAGGACGGCAGAGGTGCGGCAGTGCGGAGCTCAAGTGCTCCACGTCCAACCGCCAGCTCAAAGTCTGGTTTCTCTGGCAACTGTCTGTACACAAACGTCATCTTGGGGGCGGGCTTAGGCACTTCAACCAATCAGTGATGTTATGTAAATTTTGCGGCGTTCCATAGCCAAATGATTGGACCACCACTCTGATGTCATAGTTATGGCGCCTGGGCAGGGGGGAGAAGACTTCCTTTTCTTTACTTTTTTTTTCTTTTTTTATTATTTATTTTAAAATTTAAATTTAGATTAGAAACAAGGTTGCTTCACATGTCAATTCCAGGTCCCTCTCCGTTTCCCTCCCCTCCTCCCGTGCCCCCCAGCCCCCCAATATCCCCTCATTTCCCCAGGGAGGGTGAGGCCCACCATATGGATGTCCATAGTCTGTCATTTCATCCAGGGCAGGGCCTAGACCCTTCCCCAAGAATTCAGGATGAGAGTGCATCTCACATTGTTGGATGGGAGTCCAAAGTCCATGTGTATACTCAGGATAAATACTGATCTACTGCCCAAGGCTCAATAGATTACCTAGGCCTCCTCACTGACTCCCCCATTCAGGGGGAGTTTTGATCAGTCCCATGCTGGATTCCCAGGCATCAGCCTGGGATTCAAGAGTTAACCCTTGTAGGGTCAGCTGTTTCTGGAGGTTAAACCAGCCCAGTCTTAATCCCATGGGATTGTAGACTGGCACTCCCCAGATCTATGTCTAAAATCCATATATGAGAGAGTACACACCATGTTTCTCTTTTTGTGACTGTGTTACCTCACTCAGGATGGTTTCTTCTAGTGTCATCCATTTGCCTGCAAATCTCAGGATTCCATTGTTTTTTTTTTCTGCTGAATAGTACTCCATTGTGTAAATGTACCACATTTTCTCTATCTACTCTTCGCTTGAGGGGCATCTAGGTTGCTACCAAGTTCTGGCTATTACAAATAATGCTGCTATGAACATAGTGGAACAGACATCCTTGTTGTATGAATGGGCATCTTTTTTTTTTCTTTTAAAGACCAGATTGTACTCAAATTCACAAAGATCCATCCCCAAGCTTCTGCCTCCTCAGTGCTGGTATTAAAGTCAAGCATGCCCTGCAAGTCTTTCTTGATTAATTCAACCTCCTTCCTGGGACCCTTTTTCTGCCTCAATCACTTGGTTCCTACTCTTCAGTGTGAGTGCATGGGTGTGGAGAAGCTCTAGGCTTAAGGTTCCTGCAGAAAAAAAGAAGGGCACATCATCGCTAGCCTCTCATCACTGAGGAAGAATAGGACTCTTAGCAATGAAAGATATCTTGATAGAGGTGACCATTATAGGGGTAGGGAGAACCCTGGTGCCACAAGGATGGCCCCAGCTGAGACTTCTAGCAATAGTACAGAGGGTGCCTGAATGGCCCTTCCCCTGTAATCAGATGGATGATTACCCTAATTGTCATCACAGCCTTCATCCATTTACTGATGGAAGAACATGCAAAGATCCACAGCCAAGCACTGGGCTCCAGGGGTCCAGTTGAAGAGAGGGAGAAGAGATTATATGACCAAGGAGGTTCAAGATCATGACAAGGAAACCCACAGAGACAGCCGACCCAAGCTTGTCAGCTCATGGATGCTAGACTGACAGATGAGAAGCCTGAATTGGACAAACTAGGCTTTCTATGTGTGGGTGACAGTTGGATAACTTAGTCTGTTTTTGGGGTACCTAGGATTGGAACCAGGATCTCTTCCTGGTGCATGAGCTGACTTTTTGAAACCTATTTTCTATGGTGGATGCTTTGCTCAACATTGATGCAGGAGGGAGGAGATTGGTCCTACCTCAATTTCATATGCCAGGCTTTGTTAACTCTTCATGGGAGGCCTTAGCCTTTCTGAGGAGTGGATGGAGGGGCATTAGAAAATAGGTGGGGGAGAGAATGGGAGGAGAGGAGGAAGGAGATACAGTGGTTGGTATGTAAAATAAACAAAAACTTAAAAATAAAAAGGTCGCATTCCATCCTCCCTTTCTCCACTGTCATCAGGATTGTGCCACTTCTAAGTGTGGTAATGAGTTCATTTCCATTCTCTCTGAGAATATTAGAATGATACACTAATCTACTAAACTGTGTGTCTTATAAATTTGCAGATAGACTGAAAGTTAAAAAAAATTGTAAAGGACATAAATTGCAACCCTAAGACAGTAGAGTGGCAATATAAGTATCAGACAAAATACACTTTAAAACAAAAGCTTTACAGGATAAAGAATGTTTTGTAATGATGAAGGGGTTGAACCATCATTAAGCTGTCACAATCACGAACATGTAATCATCTGAGAACAGAAAAAAAAACACCTGAAGCAAAAAGCTACAGAAATACAACAGACCATTCAAAACTACTAATTGGAGATTTCAATTAATACTTTCAGCAATGGATAGAACACTAGAGAGATGGTAAAAATATGATAAAAAGTTGAACAACACTAGAACCAAATAGTCCTAGGAACACATCTACACAACAATCCACCCAAGAGAAGCAGAATAGACATTCTTCTCAGGTGTATGTGGAACATTCTTTGTTAGATCATATACTGGCAAGAAGAAAAAAAATCAAGTATGCTTTTTAACCACAAAGGAATGAAGTTAGAAGTCAATAACAAGGAAATTTATGAAAATAAAAAGCTGTGGAAATTATCTAGTGTAACAATGTGTAAGAGAAGAAATGAAAAAAGGAAGTTAGAAAATGTGATGAAAACACAACACCTGGTAGAGAATGCCTACAATCCCAGCCACTTGGACAGCAGCCAAAGCAGGAGAACTGAAATTTCAACTACAGAGAAAAAAATCATTGGAAATTAAAAAAGCTCAAATGAAACAAAATATATGAATATCTATAAGACATTACTAAATTAGTCCTTATGGAAATTTTATATTTGAGTGCCTGTTTAAAAAAATACAAGAAAATGGGGCTGGAGAGATGGCACAACATATACATACAGGTCCTCATTCTTGCAAAGGATCCTAGTTTGGTTCCCCCAAGCCACATCCAGTAGTCACTGCCATCTGCAACTCTAGCTTCAAGGGATATTGTAACATGACAAACAAAAGACCCAGATACTGGCATTGGGGTTCAGGCTTCAATCTGACGATCAGAAAAGCAAAGCTGCTGGTAACTAGATCTCACTCTATCTCAGACTGAAAGGCGATCCTGGTTCCATCAAATCTCAGGCTGTAACCTCTTCTCAGCGTGGCTGGAGAATCCTGAGACTTCAATGTTGTCCTATCCTCAATGTGGCTGGAGAATGAATGTCTGATACTGACTACTGAAGACCCTGCTCCTATCTTTTATACCTCTCTAGTGCTGGGATTAAAGGTTTGTGATCTCTGGTGCTGAGATCATCTTTGTGTGAGTGTTTCTCCTTAGGAATGAATAAATCTTATGTAGAACTGGGTGGACTTAATCTTGAGTCCTCGGATTAAAGGCATGTACTACCACTTCCTAGCTTCTGGCTACTAGGATTAAAGTGTGTATCACCACTGCCTGGCTTCAATAGGTTAAGGCTGACTTTGTTTTCTGAATCCTCAGTCAAGCTTTAATAAATCATATAAAATATATCACCACAGAATTGATGCTTTCTTCTGGGCTCTTCAAGCACCTATCTATACACAGTCATACATACAAAGACACACACACACACACACACACACACACACACACACACACATATTTTTAAAGTCTCTTTTTAACAATACCAGCTCAATAACCTGACCTATTTTTAAGACACTGGGGAAAACAAGATTAAGTAAACCCAAAACAAGGAAAGACATAAAAATGCAGAGTAGAGTGGAAACTAATAAAATATAGAATAGAAAAACAGTCCACAAATTATTCCATTTCCATAATGATGAGAAACATAGAGCTAGGTAGACAGGCATAGGCCTGAGAGCTTACGTTGTGATCCTCTTGGCCTTGCTTTGGTTTTGACCAAAGCCACGACCTTCTAATCCTTTTCAGATAGCCCCACTCACTAGGGACCAAGCATTTGAACAGATGAGCCTATATGGAGCATTCTCATTCAAATTACCACAAAATAAATAAGCTTTTGGTTAAATTAAGCAAGATAATTTACTGAGAAATGTGGAGAATATTCCAGCTACCAGAATTAGAAATAATCTATAGGGTGGAAAGACAGCATGAGCCCCCCTCGCACATAAATCTCCTAGCACCCTCAGTCTTTCTCAAGGCTCTGGTTTACCACCACATTTAGAGCCAGATGTCCACCTCTTCTGCTGGGCCTATGAACTTGCATCTTTAGAGAAATCCTTTGCCAATATTAGGTCAACTTGTGTTTCTCCTTCTCCAAACATGGAAAATCCTGCCTGTATCTTTAACAGCTAAGGGGTAAAACAATTTCAGGTTGTCTACCCCATCTGCAAACACATACCAACCAACTGGGCATGTAGATTATTGGGTTTAGTCTTACAGAGATTCAAATGCCTTTTGGGTATGGATAATATTGAAAAATTTGTTTCATGCTGTTCTACTCAACTGAGAAGGCAGTTCTGGAGTTGGATTTTGACCCATGTACTCTAGAGCCAGTCAGGCACATTAGTTCAAAATTTCCTCCAAAGTCTCTGTCCTGGGTAAGGCTGTCCACATGACTCTGTGATAGGGAAAATGGGCGCAAAACAGAACAGCACAGGAAAAGACATTATGTGCTTAAAAACATCTAAAAAGTAAAGTATCTACAATAGGGATCACTATTTCTTATCACATACTCCATGATTTGGTTTTGTTTAACTCTAACCAAGCCCCCTCCCTTTTCTTGGTTTTGCT